TCTGCCGTCGGGGTTGATTGGAGGGGACAAGCGAGAGGACACCAGACCTTTCCGAGCGCCACATTGCCACAGGAACGCAGAAGGCATGGGCCGCGAAACACAGGACTCAAGGGCACCCTTGATTCGGCGGGGTCGACCTACTGCAGCCAGACCTGAGCCAAAAAACATCCCTCAAGAACATGGGAGCCTCCGCTGGCCAAGACAAACGGAACGTCCAAGCGGAGTTACCCTCCCCAGGAGGCATAAGAACACCTCCCAAGCACGAAGAACACTAGGGCCCCCCCCGAACCGACCTCGATCTTATAGCTCTAGGCCTCGTATATAGGGTCGGAGTAGATAGGGTCGAAGGATCGCGCCGCATCGCCGATGCATCGGCGATGCGGCTCAATGCGGAGTCCGACTTTCTCCACGCCGGCGTCGCCGATGCGCCGCCGACGTCGCCACTGCATCGCCGATGCATCGGCGATGCATCGCCGATGTATCGCCGCTGCGGCACTCGGACCCCACCCAGGAGGCCTCTGACAACCCGGTCCGACTGTAATCAGCCTCAACTGCACTCGGGCCCCATCTGGGAGGCCTCTGGGGAAGCAGCCCGCCCCGCCCTGCCATGGGCGTCGCACAGCTCCCCGCACTCCCCGCGGCCCGCCTCGCGCCCGCGCGCACGAGGGGGTCCTCCTCCTCTTCCTTCTCCTCCTCCTCCTCCTCCTCCTCCTCCTCCTCCTCCTCTTCGCCCTCCTCCTCCGCATCCTCCACCACCTTCCCCCCTCCAACTTACGGTGGTGGTGGTGGTGGAAACAAGGCCCATCCCCCCCACCCCCCTCACGGAGAAGCCAAGAGGGGCCAGACGTAGACCCAGGACGGCGCACCTCCACTTGCCATCGCTCGGTCGGACGCCCACATCCCGTGAATTCTGCGATTCCGGGCGTGTTTTTTTGCGTTTTTCTTGCAAGATGATCCAGGATGCTCCTCGATGGTCCTCGCCGGGAAAATGCACACGTCCGCGATGCAAAGTCCAGCGAGGTGTCGCAGCGGCCACGATTCCAGCCATGGTACTCATCTCCAGGGTGCGTGCGTCTGCTCTGGGGCACATTTGGCTTAGGTCGAGCATGTCCTTATACAGGCGGATTTTGGAGTAATGATAAAACATAGCCAACACATGCTCAAAAACGGTCAGGAATAGTCGAGCAAATCGTCCCCAGACTATTTTTTACTGTTCTGGAATATTCCCCCTGCGGAAGGGACATCCTGCCCGACTTAACGCTTGGCCTCCCTGGCCCCGTGCTCGGGCTCGGGTCGGGGCCCAGGGCCGGGTCCGGAGCTCGGGCTTCGAGCTCCCATGAGATCCGCCGCAGCGAAAGACTTGCAACATCGTACAACAAACCACGCCCAGAGCCCTAGAGTGGGGGCCCGACTACAAGAAACCTTCCACGAGAAACCCGGCCCTGAGACCCCAGAACGTCCATCATTTTTTTGTGTGGGAACGTCACGCTATCCATCGCAAAACCACCGAAACCCAAGAAACCCAGGGCACCCTGGAGGCAAGCAGGGTGTTTCTTGGCATGGGCCTCCACTCCAGACCCTGTGTTTCTCCATCATTTTTCCCCATATCCTAAGGATTGGGGTTCTTGTTATTACTCTGACGCCTCCCACTCCTCCTCCTCCTTTTTCCTCCCGCCTCCCGCCTCCCTCCTCCCAATGATA